CAGAGTTAAATTGGTAAGCATCGCAGTTTGGCTCCAGTGGCAGATGGAACTTCACACCCCATTCCACTCGTTCACGTTTTGCAGTTTGGTCTTCCAAGCTGAAAAAAGTGTCTTCATTCCTTGCATAGTGCAATATGAGCTGGTTTGCACATCTGGCAGATGCTTGAGGTGTTAGATAGAATGTACCATTTCCGAATACAGGCAGAGGATTCTGTTTCTCAGTGCTTCTCCTACATTGCAAATTAAGGAAAAGGGAAGAGTGCAGGAGGGAGGGAGGCAGGTTCTGGGGCCATTCAAAAAGATATGATTCCTCCTCCACTAACCATCTGCAAAGCAGGGTGGTACAGTTTGTTCTACAGGTCAACGGGTGCTGACCAAGCTCATGCAGATCAGCTTCCATATCCCCAAATGAATATTGGGAAACCTTTGATGGAAAAATCTAACAAACTGAAAGGCTGGTTGCCTAAAAGCATGGACAAAATCAAACTTCCAAAGTTGCATCAATGTTTTGATTTTTATTTTTGGTTTTGTTGTGTGCCCAAGGAACAAACTGTGCTCCAGACAGTGCAGATGTGTTTCATCAAGTGCATTTTGTGATGGTCCTTAGGCTTTTCCCCTCTTCCAGTGTAAACAGAATCGCTCAAACAACACTTATGCAATCAAAACGAAATGCCAAATGGGCAGCACAAAGGGATGTGGAGAAAAGCGTCTGTTCAGGACTGACCTCTGCTTGTTGAGAAACTGAATGAAAGGCAGAAGATCAGGTACATCAGGTGGGTGGGTGAACTTCCATGGAGCCATCAACAATAGCTTCATTTGCAAAGAGTGAAAGGCAGAAACGCAAGTGAACATCAACCAGCTCCAAGTAAATTGTCTGTGTGTATGTGTATGTGTATGTGCATGTGCGCGCGCGCGCGCGCACACACACACACACACACACACACACACACACACACTAGCTAATGGGTCCAGCTTTGCATAAGTTGCAGTCGCCTGTGGCTTCCATAGCTCTTAGTGAAGCCTTTGAGCAATCCCATCCAGCTGCCACCATGGGACGCTTTGCCCCTGAGGGATTCCCTGCCTGCTGGAACCCCAGGCATGCCACCTTCCTTCCCGGGGTCCACATCTGCAGCCCCCTGAGAGAAGAACATGTCCATTCCCTTGACAAGAGACTGCCCCACAGCGGGGTTGAGGGGCAGGTAGGCATTTTCCTTCCTCTTCCTACTCCTTTCACCAGGCTCAGACTGCACTGTGCTGGTCAGGGAGAATGTTTCCTAGTGGTTGAAGATCTTACTGCAGGCTTGGTCATCTTTAAGTTAATTGAAATTAATTATTGAGTTTTAGTAACAAATTAGCTGTGAGGCACACAGCTTTAGAGTCCCTTTGGTGTGTACAATATGTTTCTGGTGCCTAGGTTTCATGGATGAGTAAGATTGGCTTCTTAAAGGAAGTCACAGCCTTCAACTTGGAAGAGCTGAATGGAGCTGCAGTGGACATTCATAAGGTCGCCATAACTCAAAGACGATGGCACACAACAAGTGCAACAGGTCTCAAGCATGAAAGAATGAGAGCAATGGATGGATGGATCATTCTGTATGATTGTGATGACATAACTAAGGCATTCGGGTGCAATCCTATGCATGTTTAGACAGAAAAAGGGCCTACAACTCCCAGCTGGAATACTGGCTGGAAAATGCTGGGAGTTGTATCTCCTTTACACAGAAAAATTGTACCCTGTGCCATTTTTCTTCCATACACCTTCCTGTCATGCAGTACACGCTTCAACACAGCTGCTGTTGACAACATCTAAAATGCGGGTGCACTCTCTTGTGCTACCCTCTGCTTCGACTGGTTGGTCCTGTCTGGCGGAATAGTATTGACAGATCCCAAAATAGCCATTCCTGACTGCTTTACCTAAATAGCTTGTGTCTGTGTGATTCTTGTCTACCTTTTCAGTGACTGCCTTTTTGTGCCATCTTTATTCTGAACCAAAAGCTTTTGTAAAGAGGCTTAATTCCTGTCCTACAATAATGACTTTATTTGGAAAGGAAAGAAGGAAGGAAACCAGAGAGAGGGAAAGGCAGACCATTTCACCAGTTCCACCCAGAAAACTTCCCTCCCCATCCGTTTTTCCCCTTCATGTCATGCCATTTGTGTTCTAAACTGCTGGGCAGGGACTGGCCTGTCCTTACTGAACAACATCAAAATGCTTTGAATAGATACGTTACAAATCAAACGGCCACTGAGAGCACAGATTCAGTTGCATCTGTGCTGTTTGTCCCATCAGCGTGCCTCTAGCACAGAGCACCGCGTGCTGCAAAAAGCAAAGGTGCATAGCAGCTACCAGGGCTTGCTCACGGAGCAGCGCCTCCCTGGCAACATGCAGCCAATGACCCGACCGCTTCCATTGAAAAGCGGGGTACATGAGGGAGCAAGGGAGCTTTTCCCAAGACATTCGGTCTGTGAGGCGCAGCATCTCTGCCCAACCCAGTGAAGTAGTGTGCAAACCGGCCTTCCAGGTTCAACCAATGCGAATTCGAGCTTATCTCCTCTTCATGGTTTACTTTGGATCGTGTATCTGCTCCGTTCGGCTATGGCTATTGTCCAGTTGGTATAAGGATTCGCAGCCCTTCCACTGTTTTCCTCTGCCGTGTCTGTGCAATGGACTGTTCTGGAAAAGTGCTTCCACACCATGCTTAACCAGACCTGGTTCTTCTGTAAAAGCAGTTTTCTGTAGACTAGACAGATGTACAGGGGTGATGGGGGACTGGAAGGACAAAGGTCACTTCTCTGTCCATTCCTGGATCTTTAGTAGCAAAGCATATGTCAAATAGCCCTTGAAGCCGAGCTGAGAGGGAAACCTCAATATCTTGCAGGACAAATAACACAACCCTTGTGATATAGAGTCCTAGAAGTGGAGGACGTCTTGGTTGCATATGTTGCTTACTTAGCTCAGTACTTGCTCCAGAAACCTTTATGTTTTCGGTGGTACTTTGATGAAAAATTCCACTTTCTTGGCCATTCTTATTCGATTTGATAGCAAAGGAATTGTGTCTGAAAAGAAGTTCAGCTGTGAAGAAAAAATTAGAGAAAATATCACCACTTGGGGTTGTGGTTCTCGTGTTGATGTAGGCGGTAAGCCCAGCTGCTTCTTTCTCATTATACAGTCATCTCTCCAGCAGCCTCACACCTCTTTGGCTTCCCACACTTCAAATAAAGCCCAGGGGAGGACCTCACGAAGTCTTTCTTCCCATGGGGCTGTTTCATACCAGAAGGTGGGGGCAGCTTGGGAGGCTGCAGAGTGATGGAGGGATGCATTCCCAAAAGAAAAGATGCGCACAACCCTGTCACTCAATTCACGCCGATTAGCTATGCTAAAAAAAAAACTCCACTGAAGAGAAATCAAAATAAATTATAAAACACTCTGAGGATGAGGCAGGGAGTGGAAGCCTCTTTCATGGAGGAATGAAACTTTCAGGAAATCAGAAGAATGATTTTCTCTTCCCTGGAGTGAGACACAATGCCGCCTTCCTCACGTTTGTGCAGTGGAGGATCCAAAGCAACCTGCCAACGCGGGGGGGGGGGGGGAATGCTTGTCCTGTCTGTGGGAATCTGCTGGAGAATTTCTCTTCCTTGGGGTGAAATTGCCCCCTGAGTTTCTCTCTCCAGAAATATAGTGGCAAATTTCGAGAGACCATTGGTGCCCTCTTCTATTTTCCCCATTTACAATATGGGGATGATGCAGAACAAGATGTACCTTAAGAATATAGAGATTTGCCACACAATAGGTCAGAATATTTGCCCATCTAACCCAGTGTTATCTTCTCAGGATGACAACCCTTCACCTGCAGGCCAGTTTGGTCCACCATCCAACCCACAGGGCCTCAGCCAAGGCCTCCCTCCCCCAAAATGTCTCTCCACCAAACCTGTAATCCTTTCATTGAGAGCTGGGTTCTTTCCTCCTCTTTCTCATACAACAGACGATTCTTTGGCAGAAACGCTTTATTTTGATGTACATCCTCCAAGCTATGTGCCAACAAAGGAAGAACCTCTGAGCATGCACAGTGTGGTTTACTGAACCCAAACTAGAGTCTGTTTCTAAGAACCCTCCTTTCCAGTAACCCTGGGCCCCAGGAACCCTTTGGAGATGGGCAAGCCTCCTAGATCTACTAATTGATCTCTTGTTGCCTTGCCCTCTGAGTGGGTCAGACTCTTCTGGCTGCTCTCCCGTGTCTCTTCCCGGCAATTCCAAACCCTGCCAGTTCTCAGAACTGCCTCAACACCTGGATTCGGTGGCCTTGAGGGAAGCTCTCCCTCCTCCGCCATCTCTGTCTGCAGCACTCATATCCCAGACCTCCCTTCCCAGGATGCTGAGGGGCCTCTTCGGGGAAATTCCCACAATTCTCTGCAACTGCAGTGCTTAGAGAATTGCAGGGATCCCCTTAGCATGCCGCATTCTCTCCAGCGGGAAGGGCAAAGCAGGACCCCCACCTGGCCTCAGTCTCTTATCCAGCTTTCACTCCTTCAGTGTAGGGAGCTGCACATTCCCAGTGGGCTCCTTTTGCCCAAAGAGGGCTGGGCAGTGTCCTCCAACCTCCATGCAATTTTAGCTCCCACCCCAGCTCTGTCCTAACCAAGAGCCACTCCTGAGCCTCCTAGCTACTGTTTTTAAAAAAAACAGTGAAGGCCGGTTCTGAATCTGGAGCCTCTTTCATGCAGTGCTTGGACTTCACCGCTGATCTTTACCCCACAGCCGCGTTTAAAAGAATTCCCGAGAAACCGTCTGTTGCACTGCTCAAGGAAGCACTCGCTACATACGAAGTATGACTAACTTGCAAAGTCACAAAAGCACAACTGCTAATCTAGCTTCTCACTCTTTAAAAAAATGAAACATGAAGGGTGTGTTCAGTTTGTTAAATGTACCTTTCAGGTACCGGATTTGTTGCAAAACTAAAATACCTGAGGTAGTGATCATTTGTTTTGGTGTTTTTTTCCCACAGAAAAGATCAGATTTCAGCAACGATGTGCAAAGCAGAGGGGAGAGACTAAATCTACCTCTTCTGGACGCTGCAAGGTAAGTACCTGGATGGACAAAGATGTGCCACAGGGAGGCATAGGTCACTCATCTGCACATGGCAAGGGAGCCATGTGAATAGCTGCTTTGCTGCCGTGCATAAAGGCCAGGCCTGAACAACCTGGGACCGGCCAAGCCAAGCTCAGCTTATGAACCTGGGCAACAGCCTGTGCGTGACATACTTGAGCTACGAGTCGTCGCCTTACTTTTCTGTGGAAAGTTTTACCAAGGGCCAGAAGAAAGCTGTTCATCCAAGCGAGCAGCGGTGCAGGACTGCGCATCTTCATGCTGAAATACTGTGTGGACTCTTCTTCTCTTTCTCTTTGCAGCAGTGTCATCGCAATTCTCTTCAGACAGAGAACGGCATACATACCGTGTTTCATATTCTTCCGTGTGTTTGCCTACAAGCCAGACGTTTGTTTTCTGTTTGTGCGGCAGAGGCAAGCTGACAAAAGGAAGCATAAATTATTTCTGCTTATTCCAAGTGAGTTTGCAAGGTTCTGGACTAGCAAAAGGATTCTTGAGTGAGGAAAGGATCAGGGATTGCTGCTTTGTATCTGAGCTTTGCCACATTTTTGCGCTCGCTCGCTCGCTCGCTCGCTCGCTCGCTCGCGCGCGCGCTCTCTCTCTCTCTCTCTCTCTCTCTCTCTCTCTCTCTCTCTCTCTCTGTGTGTTTGTGTGTGTGTGTGTGTGTGTGTGTAAAACAGGCTGCTGAAATCAATACATGTCTCTAGAAAACAAAAACTCCATAGGATGTTCCACTCTGGCAGCAGGGAAGGAAACCTTAGGTGTGTTTCTTGAAGCATTTGCTATTCCTATCCCTGTATCTTCAGCCCTGCAAATGGAGTGCAGCCAAAGGTCGGGACTCTAAGAGAGTCCTAATTAGAGAAAGAAATGCGGCAGGCTGCTTGTGACTGGAAACATTGCCACCCCAGCTGGTATTATTGCTTTGCATTTGATGGGGGCTACACATCACGAGATTGCTCCCCGGAGCTGTTTGCATTGGGGCAGCCTCGAGATGAGCAGTCCCAGTTTCCAACAAGTGCATGGCCCTTCGCAGCTCTTCACGCTGCAGACTGATGAACGCTTTAGGCACGGTAATAATATGAACATATTGAAGAAATCTGTATGGAAAGGAAGGAAAGCATCCCATTCAAAATGAGATCGCTTATTGTTAGGAGCTCGCGCCTCTCCTTAGCAGGGAGGGGGTCTGTTTGATGCCAACTCAGTTTGTTCCCTCTGAGAGGAAGGTGTAGGGTGGCCATTGGTCCCAAGAACATAGGAAGGGCTCTGTTGGAGCACACAGGAAGCCCAGAGGCAGGGTGTGAGTGCAACAGGACCTTCGTGCCCTTGTTCCCCAACAGTTGGTGCTGATGGGCATATTGATACATGTAGCCTTCAGGTCTAGTAGCTGTTGGCTGCCTTCTCCTCCATGAAGTTGTCCAGTCTCTTCTTAAAGCTATCCAGACTGGTGGCCATCGGGGCAGTGAATTCCATCCACTGAGTGAAGAAGCGCTTTCTTTTATTGGTCCCGAATTTCCCGTGAATCAGGTCCATCCCATCCCATCCCATCCAGGTCTGAGTTCTAGTGTAAGAAGAGAGGAAGAAAAAGATCTCCCAATCCAGTTTCTCCACACCATACTTAATTCTGTACACCTCTATCCTATCTCTGCTTTCTCTAATCTTAACAATCCCAGATTTTTCTAACCATATTTATTTATTTATAGCTGCACCATACGTTTGTGGAAGGGCAGTAGAATATTGACAGTTTTATCTTTGATTTCTTTCGTAATTATGCCTAACATGAAATTTGCCCTTTGCATGGCAGTCACATGCTGGGTCGACATTTGCATCAAGTGTTCCTCCTTGGAAGGCTGCCAGATGTGCGGCTCCTGTGTGTAATCATCCCCTATTGGAAAGGAAGCCTGTTTTTAATGGGGGAAAACATGGAAAGGCAAGGAAGAGCCTTAAAGTTTGCACCTCTGTAGCTTCCAGCTGGACAAGCAGGTCGACTTGTTACAAGCGTCCCCACTATGGAGGGAGATTATTGTGCTCCAGCTCAACATCTTGAAACTCTTTCTAAATTTCTGTCTCTACGTATGAATTATTACATAAATCATTATTCCCCCCACCCCGTCCTTCTCCGGCAATATTCATGAGACACATATAGGCATTGGATAACATTTGATTGACCTGCAGATCAACAAAGAGAGCTTAGACTGAACTTGTTTGATCCCTGGAGATCCATCACCCCAAGACATTTTGTTATTTGTCAAAAAATCTTCCCTCTTTCTCTCTCTCTTTCTCGTTGTCTCAGAACTGCCTTCTCTTCTGTGCTCAAACAATCTTTCCTTGTTCCCACATGCGCACACCTAGCTTGCCTCCACCCTTCAGCTGAAGCTGGGATTAAGTTCCCTCCCCAGTCCACTCTGGGTTTCAATGGCTTTCTCATTCCAAATGATCTCTGGACCACAGAAAAAACATTTCTTGAATGCCCTGAGTGATTGCTTAGCAATCTTCATTACAAAAGTTATGGCCAGGCCCATATTGAAAGAGCTACTCTGCATTGTCTGTAAGATGAACTAAACCTAAAGCAAGTGAAACAAGGGTATCATAGAATCAAAGCATCGTAAAATAGTAGAGTTTAAAGAGGCCAAGAAGGCCACTGGGTCCAACCTCCTTCTGTTGTAGGACACCAATTTACACCACCCCACTCAGATGGTAGGATAGTCTAAGTTTAGCTTAGGTTAGGGGTCAGCAGCGGACAGCCATGGACCAAATGCAGTCCTTGAAGCCACCATTTGGCCTCCTGGAAAAATTGGATCAAGCAGGCCAAGGACCAAATTCAGTTTTGGAAAAGTCTTTGGGGTCTGCATTCCAATGATGGCAAGGCTGCGGCTGAAATGGCAGGGCCAGAATACCAAAAGATACCAGTGGATTTTTTCCCAAAGCTCTTCCTAAGCCTCAGGGGAAAGTACATCAACCTTTAAAAAAGCAGGGGAAATGTGTAAAAGACAAGCAACTACCAAACAGAAGGCAGTGAAGGGAAATGGAGTGGAACCAGTGTAAATGGATATGGCCATCAGATTACGGCCCAGGAAGGCTGCATTAGCTCCATGGTTATGGGGTCAACACACCTTGTATAGAGGCAGTTGCAAGTCTGTGAATATGAGATCTGTCTCATAAGACACTTCTGGTAGTAGGAGCAGAGGCCTGCCCCCTCTCCCCCCACCCTTCAGTAATTGCTGATCAGGAATTTTACATTTCAAATGAAGACCCTGCAGGGCTCACATAGGGAAGAGTTCTAAATCGTGCCTGTTTAAGGATTTTGCACAGAAACTATTGCAGATTCCAAATCTTTGGTTTCAGTAGAAAGGTCAAGCCACTCAATTTTTAATGCTGGAGAGCAGTCCTTGGCTGGGATCAAGAGAACCACTTTGGGCATGCCCAGGGGCTTTAGACTTTTTTGCCACACTCTGAAGTACTTCTGACACTGTCCTCAGTTTCAGAAGAGGTTTGGTGACCTGCTGTTAGGGAATGCAAGTTCAAAGCTTCCTGGGGTATACAGAACTAATGGCCCCATTCTTCGGCTTAATCCCATAACAAAGTGAAATTGTGCTGTGGGTGTGAGTGATCATAAACTTCAGTATAGCTTATTGGTGAATTGGTTTATATGCAACTCTGAAATCATCTAATATTCTCTGCAACTTTGAAAGCTGCCATAACATGCCCTAAAGGAGTGGGGAGAAAGCTTTCTAATCCATCTGGGAATTTCTTCAAACAGAGAGAAGGAAGACATTAAAGACTCAGTTACTTGGAGGTATGTGGAAAGTTCCTGAAAAGCAAATCTGCCTTAAACCCCAGGTCTCCCGTTGCTACAATCTAGGGTCAGTACAGATGGTTTAAAGCAGGGGTGTATAACCTTTTCAATCCATATCTAGTGCTGGCTGGGAAAGGGGTCAGATAAGCGTATGTGGACAAACTCATTGTTGGGTACTGAGGCTCATTCTTTGTACAGACCATTTTCCTTGCAAAACATTCTTTATTGACCTAAAGCACAAAACACTGAGAATGAATCTCTGAGCATGCATAGAGTGGTTTGTTGAGTCCAGTCTAGCATTCACCTCCAGGAACTCTCCTTATGAGCATGCCTGGGCCCCATCCCTTTGCGAGGGGCCTTCTGAAAGCAAGCATGCCTCCTCTTTGTGCATCAATCCTCTAATTGGGATGCCCTCTTCTGTTGGTGGCGCATCATGGGATCAAGAACCATGGCCGCCTCACCTGAGTCTGAGCAACTCTCCCAAGTCCCCTCCCAATAGCCATACATCTTGGTTGTTCCTAGAAGCTGCCTGCCCACCTGGGGAGTCTGGCCTTGAGAGAAGCATCTCCACTTCTCTCTTCTCGGTGTCTTTGTGTGTCCTGCATTTCCAGGTTTACCCGCCCCAAGTTCTGATTCACATTCTGATTCGGATTCCTCTGAAGTCCAGCCAGGTGTCCTTACAAACAAGTGCCCAAAGTAGCCAGCCGTCTTTCTCACTCCCAGTCCTCATATGCTCACACACAAACTCTTCCCCCACACATCTCCCTTACTTGCCCCTCAAGAACTAGGGGTTGGTGGATGGAGGCCAATGTCTCTCCTACCCCCAGTGATCACCACCAAGATCACTGCTTCTACCAGCAGTACGTAAACAGAAGCCACGAAACAGCATCTTCTCCCACTCCCTTCACACATTCCTAGCTAATCAGCGGTGCACCCCAATTCAAGTTCATGGCTGAATCCGGGTAGATAGTGCCCATGTGGGGGAAGCCAACTGACCTGTTGACCCCACTTGGTCTTGCCTTGTTCCTAAGCCAGAAATGTAAGGCATAGGAACCAGTAAGTGCACCACTGTTACTCACTTGCTAATGTCTACATATCAGGCTGTCACTGAAGACATAAAGGACTGCTGGAAAATTGGTAGCTCAACTTGAAAGAAACGTACCTGCACTTGATCGGCTAA